TATATTTGACTGTTTTATACAGGTAGGCTTTTACCAAGTAGAGCATTAGTTTCTTTAGACGCAGACTATCTTGACCTTCAAAAGAAAGTTTTATTGTGAAAGTAGTGTAATCTTATCTGATGTTTGCCCTGTCCTCTCATTTGATTCTAGCCGGGTCTGTATTTGGTCCAACGATTCAGCTTGGCCTAATTACTCTAGGCCTAATATGAAATCAGATGATACATGCTTTAACCTTCCCTCGAAATGTTGTAATCTGAATCTTATTCCTCAAATACCATGAATCCTCACACGTGATGCAATCCCTGTACCTCTCTTGGCCCTGAGTACAGTGCACTGTTGTGTGAAAGTAGTAGGTAGTGGACTGGGAACAGGTATCGCTTTCGCTGAGTGCTAAATCTTGCTGGAGTCAACGACGGTTGCGTAACACGCCGGTCGTGAGACGTAATGCTGAGCTGCTACGAGAACGAACCATTGAGTAGGTTTTCCAATAACAGCGTACAGTATTATGATTTATGATTTTCGTTACCGGTATCAGAATTCTGAAAAGTTTTCTTCTGAGTTTTTTTCAAATATTTTTATCAGATACTACCTAAACTTTAGTGTGTTATAACCTATACGTCTACGATGTTATGTCGTCATAACAAACTTATATTTCATTAAAGTTTGGAGTTGTTTTCGAGTTTCTCAGGTCCTTAGGTGTTGATCTGAGATCAGGAGTAACCTCGCTAACCATTTTCTACAAAATAAATACTGTAATTGTAATTATAATCCTGTGTGGAAATGTCTACAAAGTCCTTGGATGTTTCCAGATGCTCACAATTAGATCTTTCAGTGTCCTTATATCGTGCTGACTGAAGCGGGCGCGAGCTGGTCTAGGGTCTAGTAGCAGAGCGTGGGATTTCGGTCCCTGACAACCGGGTTCAAATTCCGCTAAATCACCAATGGATTTTATTGATGTGATGATCCGCAATCGCAACCCCTAGGTCTAGCCCTGAAGCAATTTTGAAAACGATTCCGCGCTCGTGCCTAGCGTCCTTGAAAATAATATGTTGACTTAAGGTTTCATTAAATCGAAATGTACTTAAAATCAAAGAACGCGACACCAAGGTAAATCTATGAACCACATGGAGTGAAACAGAAACAATACACAGAAGATGCGCTGCGTCGCGCAATACTGCGCTGCCGTCCTTGTGCCTCTGAGGTTAACAGGCTCGTCGTGCCACACGTTTTATACCAGGGAGGGTACTTGCTGCTTAGTAGTAGACAATAGTACTAGTGTACTAGTGATCTCCTAGTAAAGCTTGGTCATTCTTCTGTGGCAAAGGCAGATTACGGTGGCGACTTACGATCGATCCTTGGTGCAACCGCCTCGGTCCGAGTTATCGAGACGAAGTCGACGTCGACATTGACGAACTCATGACTGTGTCCACTGTCCTCGGTGAATCCGCCAAGATGAAGATCTTCGTTTGGCAGAAGATGCCGACACTGACGATCTAGCCACGATCACAAGGCCAGTGGGTGCAACTACGCTGAATCGTGTGTCCTGTGCACAGAAGCCGGCTTGACGAACGACGCCATCAAGCACGCTGCGGGATCAAGTCGTTGTGGGGCTTATAATCAAACACTGCAGAAGGTCCGCCAGTCCAACAAGAAATGATCCGTGAACATGTAAAGGAGCAGAACAGCTGACTCTCTGCTGTACCACTTTGCAATTTAGCTAGGTGCAGATATTTTGTGGCCGAGTGAGCAAGACCGATGCTCTCCCAAGTGGTTCCCTGTAATTTTTGGCACGGCGGCCATCTGGGTCTTTGTTCCCGGGAAGGTACTGATCTTGAATTTCGGCGCGGGCAATGGTTTCGTATGGGTGTTGAGCAGAGGTCTATCTTTTTTCTCCTGCTTCAGACGAAAGCAGACTTTTTGCAGCATTTCAGAGTACCGCCAGATAATCGAAGGGAACATCGATGCTGGAGGTATAGTCTGCGGTTATTTAAACGCTAGGGTGGTGGAATGGGGTTTACTCCTAACAAACACGCGGGACTGTATGTTTTAGAGATGGCAGCCAGGCTAGGTCTCCATATCCTAAACACGGGTGACTTTTCCACCTTTTGTCACCCGGGGTATGGAGAGACGCCCTGACATCTCTCTGGAATTTGAAGCCCTAGCCCACTGTATCACGGACTGGCGAGTCTCAGAAGACTACTCTCCAAGCGACCACCATGAAATCGTCTTCAGTGTATTCCTGAGCACAGGCATCCACATGCCAACTGAGCTTATTCATCTTGGCGTTGGAACCTTGGTCGTCTTTGCTGGCCCACTTTTTAGGGTTACATCGAAAATCAAACTGTTCGGTACATTGGAAGTGCCAAAGTTTATGCCATGTTGACGATGCGTGTCATTTCTTCGGCGTTACACCGTTCCATGCCCAGGATTCCGGTTGGCCGCGGGAAAAGCCGCTATACCTGTAGACTCCCGAGTTTGCAGAACTCGGTAAGAGATGCCTTAAGCCCCGACGAGCAGTGCAACGTGCCAGAAACAGGCCTGAAGCTAAAGCCAGATCAACAAAGCACAAAGCCGCCATACGAGATCTCCGTTGTCGACAGCTACCCTTGGGAAATGGGCTACAGGATTGTAGCCTATAAACTCGATCACGACCTTTGGTCAAAGGAACCTGTCGCCGTGGCTGCTGTCGTCGACCCGTTGTTTCCAACGCACCCAGTGCGACCATCCAGGGAATCTTTGGATTAGGGGGACTTTCCTTCGCTATCCGATCCCTGAGAAATCGAAGAACACCCGGCCCTGATGGAATTGCTGCGGAAATCCTCAAGCTCGTCGGTGAATACAATCCAAAGCTACTTTTGGTTTTTGCATCGCCTGCTCAGCAGATGGCGGTTTTCCGTCTGCGTAGATGGTGGTCCGCATTGTCATGATCCCTAATGTGAAGAGTGCACCGGTTATCCCCTCTACTTTCCGCCCCCTGTGTATGTTTAACACCTGTGGCAAAGTGATGGAGCACCTAGTTCATTTCTGACCGACCGAGGCTATCGTCTCTGTGTGTGTTTTTTCCCCGCAGGAACACGGTTTTCGTTCCGATCACTCGACCATTGACGCCATCCTGGAAGTAGTTGATGCGGTGTGGAGGACCATAACCACTTGTCGTGCTGTGTGGTTCTCCTCGTCACTATTGACGTAAAGAACGAGTTTAACTCCGCCAAGTTGAGCAATATGCAGCGGGTGATAGAGCATACATCCTGCATATGACCGACTCCTACCTTTCGGACGTATCTTGCTTTTTTACAACCCCTAAAGTCAGCGTCGGATCTCTATCACTACTGGGGCTGCACAGGGATCGATTCCAGGACCCGATCTCTGGTACGTGTCTTACGGCGGTCTGTTAATACTCGAAATGCCCGATAAGACCCGCCTCGTTGGCTACGCCGATGTCGATGCTATTCTTGGCGCAGGCAGAAACGTCGAAGAGACTAATCTAAAACTCGGTGTAGTGATGCCCCGTGTCAACGAGTGGATGCAGTATCACGGCTTGTCGCTGGTGGTCGAAAAGGCCGTGAACGTGGTCCTTACCAAGATGATAATTTTCACTGTCCATCCTGTGCAAGTGGGTCACGTACAACTGGACATCAAGCTGTTTGCCTTATACCAAAGCTTATACCTTGGTGCTACGATGGGCAGCAAAATGACTTTCGGCGAGCAGATCAAGCAAACCGTTGACAAAGCCGCTTAGGTAGTCGTTGCCCTTATGCCAAACGGTTATGCGGTCGGGAGTTTGCTTATACCAAACTTAGGCGGTCCCCGCTTCTGCAAACGCCGCATACTGATGTCAGCTGTCCAATCAGTGTTCTTGTACGGCGCCAAATGCGCCCATGTGCAAAGGCAGTGAGTTCTGGGCCCATGTGCTGGAGAGGCGTGTCTTCCGTGACAAACTTTCCCGCGTTTAGAGTCGAAGGCCTTGCGAGTTGCTTCTGCCTACCGCACAGTCCCCGAGCTTGCACACATGGTGATATCCTATGATCCTGTGTCATCCCCGTCTACCGTTTCGCCAGGGAGCGACAGTTGATCCACAACAGCAGACCTAAAGTAGACAGAGATACCGCTGTCATAGAAGAACGCGAGCCCGGTTTTAACCGCTGGCAGAGCGAAAGGGGTACCGAGTCTAGGGAACGTTGGATCGCCACGCTCATTCCTAGCATCCGACAATGGGTGGAACGGGAGCATGCTGGTGAGGTCAGGTATTTCGTGACCCAGTCACAGAAAACATACTACTACCCAGTTTTGTCGGGTCCCGGGTACTTCCAGGCCTGTTTGCACAGAATGGGGAAGGCCGCCAGCTGGGACTGTCTGTACTGTTCTGGCATTGCAGACACGACCGAGCACACCTTCTTCTTTTGCGACAGGTGGCATATCCGCCGAGCCTCTTTGATTTCTGAGATCATCGTCGACATCACTCCCGACAACATCGTTGGAGTTATACTCCAGTGGGAGGGCACCTGGAACTGTGTCAAACAGTTTACTGAGGGCATACTTCGGGCTATGAAAGTCGATCTTAATCGGTGTACGCCTTTGGAAGAAAGAAAAAAGAAAGCCCCCTTTTTTACAACAACGCATCCTCGTGACCAAGTATAAAAGGAGGTTATTTTTTCACACTGATTTTGGTTTATGGATTTCGTGGGAAATATGCATTGGCTTTTACAATCATGGTAATTTGGATTTTTAGGGATTCCGTATTAAGGTTAGCGTCTTTTCATAATGACAAACGTCACATCTTATTTTTTAACTCTTGACTTAGCGTTGCCGCTTGAATGGTTTCTCCCATCAACTTGATCTTGTTGGCTTCCAAGCTTCCAATTTTATGACTAAGCTTACAAGTTATGTAATTTGCTTGATGACACACTTGTCATAATGGACCATGCAAAATGTTCAATTCTTTGCTCTTGTACAAATGCGTTTTGATATGGACAACCAAACATTATATATTCTGGTTTCAGGAGAGAAGAGATCACGTGCTGGAGATGCTACACTGCCTGGTGAGTCTACTTTTTATACTAACAATGTTTACCTGTGATTATCAATCCTATTGTAGCCAGTTCCTGGGTTTTTTTTTTTTTTTTTGTCATGACCTTTATTATCAAACTCATAGTGTCAACTGCTAAGTAGTACTACCAACTTAACTACAAATCCTCTTTTCAATGTTTCCCCTCTGATACACTCTTGTGACCTCTTCTTATTCTCTGTTTCCATCACCCGTGTTCGCAGGCGCCAGAGGAACAGCGGACCTTGAACCCCACGGTCGGGTCCAGTTACGGAGCGCGTAATCCAATAATTATCCAGTGACATAATTCCAGCGGCGAGCGTGGCGAAACGGTTGGTCGCGCAAGAGGTTCCCACACATGATCCTGGCGCAGGCGCATGCAAACATCGCCTCATTGTCCTCGTCCTGCACTCTTGGTTCTAGCCTACCTCGGTGTGTTGGAGATGGAACAACACTATCTTTAAAGTTAGGAGATCTCAATAGATGACTGTGAGTCGTAAGTTATACGACACACTAATATACGCTACATACACTAATACACCAACGATACGCTAAACACTAATATGTGGCTTTAAGTCCTACAAAATCAGAGCAACGTGTTACATACAATTTTTAACGGTTATATGAACAAACACAGAGAAGGTTGTTTGGCATTGCATAATTTTGATTATATCAGTAACGTAAACTCGTAGTTGCTACAGAACCACCAAAAACGAGTGCCGTGAGTCGGGAAAGATCAGCGAGTGATTCGTCGTACAGTACTTCCAAGAGATTGGTTAGTTAAGAAACAGGAACAGTTGATTTCGCTGCTGGGTGCCTCACAGAGGGTTCCGTAAGTTGTTTATACTAACTCACTTAATTGCTGCTCATACGACAGGTACCATCGACCATGGTCTTTTGTTAAGAAATGATTTGAGTAAGCTCTTCTGTTAGTCTTTAATTTTAGTATGAAATACTCGTACATATACCTTTGCGCTATATTATGAAGCCGACAGATGGCTATCAGAAGTAAATTGAGAACCAACGATCAAAGTGAAAGGCACAAATGGAGTAATTCGGACCGGAATCAACATTTCCATGACCTTAAGCGAGTTCAATAATTAAAGGTAGTAGACGTAATTTGGCCATCAGACTTCAATCACTTTCTTGGGACACTCAAGTCTCTAAATAATCGTCTGATTTCACTTTCTTCAAAATTGCCTGGAATCGCAAATCATCCTCATCCGTCATCATCCTGCTTCTCCCGTCTGTTGATTCTTAACGGCCGGTGACTCCTAATTGCTGCTTGCGAACGAGAAGTTGATGCTGATTTGAAGTAGAAAGGATGGCATTAAACAAGCCAGTGTTTAGCGTCAGCGGTATCATCAACATGAACGGGCGTTTAAATAGATTCAACAAATGTGTTGACTTTCGTTCTTGCCATATCTTCTAAGGAGGAGCCATACCTAAACTACGCAGTTTTCTACAAGAGTTTTGAGGATTGTCTTTTTTGTGGATTTACTATTACTATGGGGTTTCAATTATTGGTACAGTAGTTGTTTGAATATTTATCTGCTAACAGTGGCTCAGAATGGGTCATTATTGTTTTAAATAGCAATTATTTTTATTTAGCTCTTGGGGAAGTGTATTCGATGTTTGAAAACTGTGTATAGAAGGTAAAAAAATGACTTATAGTAGACTTTAAGTAGGAGTTATCAAAATTTCTCTGGTTAGGAATGCACACTCTTTTTTGTATAGATACGTTGATAAGCTTAAACGGCCTGTTGCACGAACACGCATATTATTTTTCATTTGATAGAACTCAAAACGTGTAGATCGGTCGTAACCAACATTGACGTGGTATCTAGTGAATGATATCCATTGTGTTATAGATACGTTGTTACGTTGCATAAGCTTCCTAAAAGGTCTGTTGCACGAATAGGCACATCGTTTTTCATTTTATAGAACCTACAACGTGTAGATTGTTTTTAACTACCTTGACATAGTACATAGAAAATAGTCAATGATAACCACCTATCATCACGGTTTAGAATAAACGTTGATAACACAATCTCAAGGTGATTGGGAACCAAGCTTAACATGATAATCCCTCAATGTTTTAGGAGTTATCTGCATAACGCTTATTGGCCTATACCAAAACTATATCAACCATCATAATTCCCTAACCGAGAAAGCTGCCAGATGAAGAAACACTAGCATGTATCTTGATTTTATTTTACCGACGTCTTCAATTCAAAGATAAGCAGAAACAACTAATCAAATTGAGAATGGGCCTGTATAATTGACGGCCCGGGCGGTGCTGTTACGCAAACATGAGCGGCCCCAACACAGAGCCCTGAGGCACGCCGCGGCTTCATTTGTCACCGGCAGTGTTAATTACCTGACTACGTGATTCCGCTATTAAGTAAGTTAAACCAAACTTCCGTCGCCTAGAGAGATAAACACTCAACACACCTGAGCTTTTTAGTTTCCACCTTTGTATACTCGTATGTCTATCCTCATGGATTTGCTCGTGACTGACTTTAGAATTGACAATACAGTACTCATAAGAGACTATATTTAGAGACTGGATTAAGATTAAACTTCGTTAAATTTCTCCGTATTTTTAAAATGGTAGAAAAAAGTCAAGGTAAATTTAAAAAAAAGATCAAAAAGATCAGCCAGTAAAAACTTTTATTTCGCGCTTGGATAGGACTTATCATGAATCATTTCGATGTTTTTTTTAAATCATCAGTTTTAAAACTGTTTAAATACTATTACGAGATAATCTAGACGATTAATAATGTAAAGATCACTGTACAGTACATTCTTAATGACGTGATAAAGGAAACATCAGCATTATCGACTATAAATAATAATTTAAAAATCTGTTGAGCCGTATTAATAAAGAAGAGGTAAACCTTTTACTTGCGAAAATTCGAGGAAATCCTTCTATCTGTATTAATAAAAACTCAAGCAAAACCTTTTACTTTATAAGGAAAAGGTAATCCATGGAAAGTTGAGGTTTTGCTCATGACTTAAGTAAATGGTTATTAATAAAACTGACCATTTACTTTTTCTTTGAAGTAAATCCTTCAAAAATGATGCATCTGATCAGTAGCAGATTATACGTTTAAGTAAAAGGTGTGTGGTGGTTTTACAGTGTGGTGCTAAATTTTAGCGAATTTCCTAAATAGGGAAAAAGCTATTCCGTAGGTCTCATGGTAAGACCTAGACCCATGACCCATTTACTTTTCCGTTTTCAGGTCCCCAGAGGCCAAAAACCTCCTCCGTTCAAATTCATATATACAGGGTGAATTTTAAATGAGTTCCCCTCCTACTTTTTTCTACATTTCTTAAGATATCAACATTGGACCACGTCAGATTATTGTAGTGTAGTAAGTACTTCATTTTTACTGGATAAACATTTTTGGCCGCCATCTTGGATCCGCCATATTGGATACAACATTTTTTTTTCAAATGTAAAGGTAGGGTTGTGACCCATTGTTTCAAATTAGAATTTTACGTTGATTACACTGCCGCAATTAGTTTTAAAAAATCTTGATCCGTTCTAAAGTTATGAGGACTTTTTATAACTTTATTTTTAGCCCATTTTAACATTGTGCATTTACAAACTAAGACCATAATCTCAAAATAGTGCTAGATAAAGATAAGTATACACCACCATTCATTGTCGACCTATTATTACTTGGTTATGACGGATTAATTTTTTCGGCCGCCATCTTGGATCTGCCATTTTGAGATGTGATAAATTAATTTAAATATGAAGGTGGTGTTGTGACCCATCATTTTGAACTACTTTTTTATGCTGAACTCAATGCCGCAATCCGTTTTTGTTTCTCAGGCTTTCTTGATGAAATATTAAAATTATCTTACTTAAATTTCCAATATTTCAAAAAACAAATATGAAAATGCAAAACAGATTGCGGCATTAAATTCAGCATAAAAAAGTAGTCTGAAATGATGGGTCACAACACCACCTTCATATTTAAATTAATTTATCACATTTCAAAATGGCAGATCCAAGATGGCGGCCAAAAAAATACATCCGTCATAACCAAGTGATAATAGGTCAACGATGAATGGTGGTGTATACTTATCTTTATCTAGCACTATTTTGAGATTATGGTCTTAGTTTGTAAATGCACAATGTTAAAATGGGCTAAAAATAAAGTTATAAAAAGTCCTCATAACTTTAGAACGGATCAAGATTTTTTAAAACTAATTGCGGCATTGTAATCAGCGTGAAATTCTAGTTTGAAACAATGGGTCACAACCCTACCTTTACATTTGAAAAAAAAAATTTGTATCCAATATGGCGGATCCAAGATGGCGGCCAAAAATGTTTATTAAGTCAAAATGAAGTACTTGCTACACTACAATGATCTGACGCGGTCCGAAGTTTATATCTTAAGAAATGTAGAAAAAAGTAGGGGGGGAACTCATTTAAAATTCACCCTGTATATGTGCCCTTTAGCACGATAACTCGAGCAAAGGTGATCCGATTTTGATTAAATTTGATGCAAACGTGTAAACCTACGTTTATTCTAAGGGATTCGCGAATCAGCATAATAGGATATGGAAACGGGGGCTTATGGGCGGTTTTATGGGGTAATTGGATTTTAACATTTTTTACCCTAAAAACATAGAATTTAGCAACTTCTTTCCAAGCCATATTGTAGAGTTTAAAAAACTATTAATTTAGTATATCGAAGCGATGTTATGTGCCTAATGGCTACGGAGAAAATTCAAAAAAATTGTAAATTTAAAATTTCTATGTTATTTTATGGAGAAATTTTTAAACTGTTGTAGTTTTCTTGTTTATGAGCATTTTTTATCAAATTTGCATTCATTTCATACTAAACAATTACATAAAAAAACCTTTTTACCCTCCCTGTAGCAGTAAACCTAAGTACTCAGTTAAACTAAAGCTATTTAAATAGGGAATGAATGTGATATTGGAGACATTTTAGTGTACATCCAATCTGGAAAATG